ATATCTGGGAGTCTGAACAAATGAAGAATCCCGATCAGCGTTAGCGAGTACGGCACATGGCTCCCCAAAGTATGTGATCTACGGAGCCACAGACAGGAGTTCTGAAGAATCTACACAACTGAGTTACCCACCTTGGGGGTGCAGTGGAGGCAAATGAGTTTCTTGAACAGTGTGCAAAATACAGAGAGAAAGAAAACAGACCAAAGTTAAGAACCTGCCTCAGATTATCGTCAAAATGAAACAACAGAGAGACAACTAAAGTTGGCTTTGGCAAACTACATATCTGGCTTCTTTATTCTACTTGGCTTCTTTTTCTATTTCATTCAAAAGACCTTTGCCTAAGTCACTCTTCTACTGCTTCATACCATTGCCATGGTTCTTTTCCCTGGCTTTCGTTCAATGTATGGATTGAATCCAAATTTTAATATTTCCTTTCGAGCCACCTTTGCATGTTTTTTTTTTTTTAATTTAAAGGAGCAGATCTTAGATATCACCTATTATAATAGCTTCATTTTGTCCAGACTTGGCACACAGAGGTTCAAGCCAGGGGCGGGGAGAGGCAGATGCACACAGAGGATGCTATGCTGAACCCCACGGGCTACGAAACACTCTGAATGGAGGTTTCAGAAACAGAGCTGTGATAGGTAAGGGCAAGCAGTATGAACTGCTTTAGGGCATAAGAATTATGATTATCATAAACATTATATTCCCCAGTGAATATCATGTTTTGTTTATTTTTTAAAGTTTATTTCTTTATTGTGAGAGAGAGAGAGAAAGAGACTGCGTGGGGGGGAGGGGAGGGACAGAGAGAGAGAGGGAATTAGGGAGAGAATCCCGAGCAGGCTCCTCACTGTCATTGCAGAGACCAGCCCAACGCAGGGCTCAAATTCACTCATGTGAGATCATGCACGACCTGAGCCGAAATCAAGAGTCAGACTGACGTTTAACCAACTGAGCCACTCAGGTGCCCTGAATATTTGAAGTTTTAAAATAAAATTAGCTTATAAAATAAAACAGAGGAAATAATCAGCATAGAAAGTGTGAAGACTGTACTATAACATATTGAGCTTTCTTAGAATTATTATTGATGCCCATAGAAGAATTAGGCTGTCTTTCAAAGCAATAGGTTTTCTACCACCGGAAATGTATTATACATGATTCTTATTTGTTCTTAAACTTTTGGTTTTACAGACCAGTAAAAACTATATTGTTGTACCAAAGAAGATAAAGGATATCTGAGCCAAAGGAATAGTTAAAAATATTCACTTAATTTACTTTCTTCTCTACTTAATGTTGAGAATGCAGCCGAAAATCAAGGTGAGACAAACCTTGCAGCCATTCTGCAGAAGCAGAGGTTTAATGCAGCTGCCATTACCCATGTTGACAGAAAAACAGCAAAACGAAGGGTCGGCTGACTCTGCAGCACTGCAAATAATTCAATGTTAACGTAAGTGTAATCTCATTTTCTTTTTTCGTAAATGTATTCCAATAAATGACACAGTGACGCAGCTCAGATAAGAAGTGACCTTGTGCAGGCAATCAAGTGTCCTAGGGACGCAAGGGGATTAGATCAAGGCGGTTGCAGTTGCCAAATTTTCAAAGGTAGAGACAGCTGGTGTGTCTATCCCTCACATACCTGAACACCTTGTGTCAAGACTCCTACTTTAACTGTAGCTGTTTCACACTCGGTGATGTGTAATTTAGTTAAGAGGTTAGAAAAAAAAGTCCCTCAAATTTAAGTAAAGAGGAAAGGTATTTTTAGAATATATCATTCAGAACATGTTGAGTAATGAAAGGTCTTCATAAATTATATTCAAGAGCAAGGATACTGGGCATCTTTCCAGGGAATCCTGCTGTTTGGTGGCACTGAATTCTAAACATCATCATCATCATCATCATCATCATCATCATCATCATCATATAATAGGGGCACCTGGGGGGCTCAGTCAGCTGAGCTTCTGATTCTGACTCTTGATTTCAGTTCAGGTCATGATCTCGCAGTTGTGAGACTAAGCCCTATTGGGCTCCGCGCTGAGTGTGGAGCCTGCTTAGGATTCATTCTCTCTCTCTCTCTGTCTCTCTCTCTCAAAACAAATAAATAAATAACCATTAAAATTTTTAAAGGATAATAATGCCTTTAAATGGGGCATCCATTCCCTAGTTCCCCAAAGGCTTCATCCCTTTCTAGGATTTTATCTCCACTAACTCACAGTTTAAAATACCTGCCTGGCAACTGAGGACAGGGTGCTAATGATCTTTGGTCTGCATTTACACAAGATCTAACAACAAAATTGTTGAAGGTTAGTATTTGCACATTCTGTTCTATTTTTGTAAGCAATATTTTTAAATAAAAAAAAATCTTGATTTAGGTACCATACATTTCCCCCATCATATGATTCCCTAGGCCTCCACCCCCAGCCGCACCCAGTGAATCAAGGATTACCCTGGGTGTGCAGGCCTGGTTCTGAAGGAGACTGTCCTGTGCGAAGAAGTGCTCAGGTTGCCTAATTATCTGATCAAGTCTGCCCAGTCTGTGGCAAGAAGAAAATTACGTTTCAGGCTGTAGTTGGAAGCAATATACTAAATTATTTCTTGCATTCTCGTTTTCACAGTTATATGCCTTAAAAGCAGCAGAATCAGTGTACTGTATTTGGAACATCTTGATAAAGATGGAGATCTTGATGAAGTTGATTCTGCTCTCGAGTAGGAAAATTTGGGGGGTGCAGTGTGCGGGCGATACGTCAATCAATGTCTCCAAAATTCTGATTTCCAGAATTTCCCTTTAGGCAGATACAAAGTTTGTTTACTATATTTTCCAGTTCACTCAATTTCTTTCTTTCCTGGTCTTATTCCTAATAATCCAGGTACTTCCTTGGACCAGATTGAGGCTAATATTTTACATGTCTACAGAGCAACTCTCTACTTCCAGAATGGCAACATAAGCAAAAATGTACCATGCTCTGTGCCCAGATTCTGAACATGGAATACTGAAAAGCTGGAGCACCTGGATGGTTCAGTCAGTTAAGCATCTGACTTAGGGTCAAGTCATGATCTCACGGTCCATGAGTTCGAGCCCTGTGTCGGGCTCCATGCTGACAGCTGGGAGCCTGGAACCTGCTTCAGATTCTGTGTCTCCCCCTCTCTCTGTTCCTCCCCAACTCGTGCCTCTGTCTCTCTCTCTCTCAAAAGTAAATAAACATTAAAAAGAATTTTAAAAAAGAATACTGAAAAGCTCTAAATACATTTAAGTGAATCAACTTAATAATTGACAAAACAAACTTTTTAAAAAAAGATGGAAGTCTTTGAAAATCTATGGTCCAGTTTTAAGAGCTAAACACAGAGCAGTCCTCTAAGTTAAGCAGCTGCTTTAAATATGTAGATCTTCCGCTCCAGTATCTTAACAGCTGGAAGAAATTACGGTCCAGAGAGACATGTGCATAATTTGAATTAAGCAGATGTGGGCTGTGAGGAAAATCAAACATCTCCAGGTAATAGATGCAAACAATATTACTGAAACTCCAAGGGATTTTTATTTGTTTTTTTCTTCATAATGATGGCAAACGTTGCCATTCTTGCGATACGAACTACCTATACCAGTTAAAATAGTGACTCTTCCCCACCCCCCCCTCCCGCCCCTTTCAAAAGTCCAAAAGAAAACATGCCAACTTCTATACTACATGGTCATCTCTGGACTCCGCCATTTTGCAACACCCTTTTGAGACGCCATATTGATTCAGTGCTTACTATGCTCAGTATGCCAAATCAATCATGTTGTCACATGCTGGGGGCTGGGGGTGAGGGAGGGTACAGGACAGAGGAAGGGTGACAAATGACAAAGAGGTTAAGAGAAGTATGTGTTCTGCAGAAATGGAGTAACTGAAATGTTGTCTTCCAATTCAGAATGTGTCTGAGCCACTTTGGTGACCACAGGCGTGCATTTAAAGGCCCGAGTTGCTAAGCGCTTAGGGCCAGATGGTGCCCTTTGTATTGAAAGCACTCTTGAACGGAGTGGGCCAGGGAACCTCAGTGGGCCCTGGCCGTAATAGCATTTCCACCAGAGTATGCCCTTTACGTGTACGACTTTCTGTTTGCAGCTCCATTTATGAAAGTGTTTACGGATCTTCGATTTAGAAACTGAAAGAGTTAGTATTCACACACCAGGTAGTCTGAACCCAAAGTAAGAAAGTGACAATTACATTTTATACTTTGCCCCCTTAATACTAGACTTCTCAGTGCTTTGTGATCTCTTGATCATTGATATGAAACAAACTAAATATGAATATCAATAGGCATTTGGAAAATAGTCTGGCAGTTCCTCGGACAGTTAAAGGTATGTGACCATATTTCCCTGCTGGACCCAGTAATTCTGTCCTAGATGCATCCTGAAGGCAAACGAAAATGTATGCCCATAGGCACAAATAGCCATAGCAGCATTATTTATAATGTATGAATGCATATATTATTTATATGTTGCAGGCATTTTTTATAATAACTAAAATAAATTAAAAATTAAAACAATAGCTAAAATTGAGCATGAGAAACTTAAGCATTTTATATGTATTTGTTCAGCCTTTACAAAAATACAAGGAGAGGGGCACCTGGGTGGTTCAGTTGGTTGAGTGTCCAACTTTGGCTCAGGTCATGATCTCATGGTTTGTGGGTTCCAGCCCCGCGTTGGGCTCTGTGCTGACAGCTCCGAGCCTGGAGCCTGCTTCAGATTCTGTGTCTCCCTTGCTCTCTGCCCCACCCCTTCTTGTGCTCTATCTCTCTGTCTCCCAAATAAATAAACATTAATTAAAAAAAAAATACAAGGAGGTTACGTAGATAAGCCAATGTATAAGAATACCACAGTTATTATTCTCATTTTACAGATGAGGAAACTGAGGCACAGAAAGATTGAGCAAGTCCCTCAGTTGCATAGCCAGCAAGTGTGACAGTTAGGAGTTGAATGCAGGCAGTCGGGCCCCGGAAGTCCAGCTCTTAACCTTGGAACTCCACACCCCAAGGGCACTGCCACAGTGTCCCAGTGTGTGACAGACCACCTTTGGGAGGTGAAGTGACAGGTGATTTTCATTTTCCTGCTTTTGTCATTTTCAAAGCTCCTTATATAAACAACTACGTCCTATATGAGACTGAGACAGACAGAGACAGAGAAGGAGAGGGAGAGAAATGACTATTTTGCACAATAAGAAATAGCTGTTTATTGCCTTCCTAATTTTGGAAAATTTCCGGAAATTATAGCATAGAGCATTATAGTGTGGGGTCAAAATTTTAGGGATAAATTTAAATCACACTGAATCCCTCATCTTTTATTAGTTAGTAGGTTGTGGTGGCGAGACAGTGCCCCCTTGGAATTGTTTCCAGTTAGAAAACTTAGATCCACGGGTTCCAAGCTGAGTATGTCCCTGTCACCTGGAGGGTCACCTGGGGAGTCTGTCCATGACCTTCATGCAACTGCCAGAGACTCAGGTAGATTTGGGGAGGTCCCTCCATTCCCTGCACGTCTCAAACACCTATTTATTTTTTTTTTATTTTTTAATATTTATTTATTTTTGAGAGACAGACAGAGACAGAGCATGAGTAAGGGAGGGGCAGAGAGAGAGAGGGAGACACAGGATCCGAAACAGGCTGCAGGCTCCAAGCTGTCAGCACAGAGCCTGACACGGGGCTTGAACTTGAACTTGCAAGCAGTGAGGTCATGACCTGAGCTGAAGTTGGACGCTCAGCCGACCGAGCCACCCAGGCACCCCATCAAACACCTGCATTTATAACAACCTTCCCTGCCTCTACTCCAGGAGGTTCTGATAAAGGGAGCCTATGCCAAATAGTTTGAGGGAAAAAAGTACAGTACCATTATTTTTTAAAAGAAAACAACCAAAGACTCTATGTTAAAATGTAGGGGACATTAAACAGAATAAACCTCTGTAGCTTTGACTCATAAAAGTATCAGCAAAATTAACACCCACTAAGAGATAAGCAGAAGAAAATGGGGCTACTTTAATAGTCTTAACTTTTTAGCACTTTTCTAAAGCTGGACAAATCTGGAATGCCTAATCCTCTACCTGTGTACCCTTCTTTCCTGTTATTAAATTTGAAAAACGAGAGCTGCAAAATTAAGCCAAATGATGTGATCAAGCTCAAGTTAAAAGTGAGGTCAAATGCACTTCTTCAGTCCCAATAAAAACTAGCATCCCTCGCACACTCCTTGCCAGCAAGAGCCCACCACCAGTGTCCTTACAACCTATCCTGACGGCCAGAGGATCTGCTTAATACACCTCCAGGTAATTGCTAATAACGTAGGAAGGACACTCACTTGGCAAATTCATTACACACAACGTGTGATTAATGACAAGCTATATATTAGGAAGGAAGGAAGAAGCGTTTGAGAGCCTGACTCGTGCCAGGCGCCGTGTGAGGCGCTCCACAAACGCTATTTTATTTAACTCTGACAACAACTGCAAGGTCAATATTATCATCCCTGTCTTCTCAGGTAAAGAAACGAAGCTGTATGGACATGAACTGACTTGCTTGCCACCCTTGATAAACAGATGATAGATCTAAGAGCCAGTGTCAGATATGTCGTATTTCTCCTCTTGCACCAGATCATCTTGCCGCTGGTGGAGGAGGCTGTGTGTGAAGGCACATAACCAGGTACTGCCCCAGGTGTGTGTCGTTATCTGTGAAATAATAAGATATGGAAATATTGACCAGGTAAATGATGATACCAGGTCAGACACTAGAAAGTTATCAAATGCATTTGATTTACTCTACACAAAGGATCCTCAAAGACCTCAGTGAATATATTTCACATTTAAATGTTCTTGACCTTCAGGGCACCTGGGTTGCTCAGTCGTTTAAGCATCTGACTTCAGCTCAGATCATGATCTCGTGGTTTGTGAGTTCAAGCCCCACATCAGGCTCTGTGCTGACAGCAGAGCCTGGAGCCTGCTTCAGATTCTGTATCCCTCTCTCTCTCTCTCTCTGTCCCTCCCCTGAACGCGCTCTCTCTCTCTCTCAAAAATAAACATTTAAAAAAATTATTTTAAGTTCATGACCCTCATTAGAGTCTCTAGTATGCCTTGATAACAAGCAAACCTGGATCCAAAATTTCATTACCTTTTCAAACGTATTCCCTAAAGAGGAATAACTAAAATCAATTTGGCATCTGACAAGCATGGAAACATAAAGGATTTTGATTATTAATTTTAGAGCAGAACTCTTCACATTCTACCTGACTAACCGTCAGTCCCAAAAATACGGATTGAGACACAAATCCAATCACAAGTTAGCAAAATATTACATATTCTACCTAAGACGACAAATAGCCAGAGGACCTTTTCTAAAGAACACACGCAGTATTATTCTTGGTGATTTAGGCAATATCATAACTAATTACATCATATTCATATTTGAAAAAAATTCATGAAAAATGTTTCAGCTTACAGTCCTGTTTTTCCTTCATATACTTATTTACACAGTCCACTAATTCTCAGTAAAATGGATTAATCTCAAAATATGGCCAAAATAAAAAAGTTGGGTTGCATAAGAAAGCTGTAATATAATATCATTTATTTAAAGTTTAAAACATGCAAATTACTGGCATTCAATTTTACTAATGCAATAGTAGATGTGCACATAAAGAGGGTATTAAAAACACGGATGAATTCACGAGTGACAATGGCAAATTCCAAAATTCAGGATAAAAGTTAAGTCTCTGGGCAAGTGAGGAGAAGAGAGTCAGAGAGAAGTATATGCAGGGTGTCAATTTTCCTTGTAATTTTTTTTTCTTAAGGCAAATAGTGGGTATATTGGTGTTTGTTATATTATCCCCATACTCTTCTGCATTCCTGAAGTACTTTAGAATAACAATTACAAATGCATAACCCGCCAAATTTTATACGATGGTTTATATATAAACCATTCATTCATCTTTGACTTGTAATGGAAATTTGACTTGTAAAGGAAATCAATATTGCTAATGTCAGGCATCACAAAAGAACAAGCATACTAATCAAATTCCAAGCCACTAATACAATTTCCATGTATTTCCATTACAGTTCTCTATTTAGATTCTACATCCAACCTCATCTGGACTGGGAGGATACGCATATACTCCCAAACTTTAATTGAAGAATGTGTCGCACTCTTATATTATTTGCAGGCACAGCATGTCCAACACCAAGTCTCAGATTTATACTTCTGTTCTGTCCCCTTAAAAGACTCATATAACCAAACTCCCTCTGGATATCTCCACTTTAAAGTTATTTGAAACCTTAACCCCCTCAAATGACATTTATTTGAAGCCCCTCCCCCAGTGACATTCCTCTTTTCTCTCTGCTCTTCCCGTTCTTGTTCCTGATGGCATCAACATTGATCATGTGTTCAAACCAAACACCTGTGTGTTATATTGAACTCTCCCCTTTCTCTCATAGCCCCCAATCAGTTACAGTTACAGAAATAACCTCTAACACATCACAAATCTGTATACTTGGGGGCTGTTTCAACTTCTAGCTCTCCAGGTGAGTCCCGCTGTGTCTCCCCACAACAAATACACCAGCCTCCAAACTAACCTCCTTGCCTCCACCACATTCCAGCCACATTTTCCTTCTTTGTGGCCCCAAATGGGCTTCACTAACCCCCTAGCTGCTCCCTCTGGAATGCTCCCCTCCAGATGTTTCCAGGGCTGGCTCCTTCAGATCTCAGCTCAGGTATCAGCACCGAAGAGAAGCTTTTCCTAAATTTCTTAAATATAAAGTAGTATCAGCAGTCTTGAGCTCATTTTCTTTTTTCCTAAGCACTTACAAGTATCTTATTGCACTCTTATTAGTTTAACAGTTAGGATTGAGTTTAGTCGCATGTAGCAAAATACTGCCTATGGAAGCATAACCAAACTGGGATTTCTTTTTCACAGGTAAAGAGAAGTCTAGACAGTAGCTGTCCAGGACTGGTCCTGGGACTCTGTGACGTCATCAGGCACCAGGTCCCTTGTATCTTTCTTCTCTGCTCCTTTTAGCATGGACTTTTCATCTCCACAATGTTCTGACAAAAAGCTTTAATGGCTTCTTACTGCTCACAGAACGGAGGCTCCACGCGGACAGAGACCTTGCCTGTCTCATCCACCATTGGAAGAATCTCAAGTAGCATGCTAACAGCTCACTCCGTATTTGTATAATTGTTATAAACCAATGAACCAGGAATCCAGAAGTCCTCATTTAGGGGGTCATCCTTCACCATGGGAGGTCATACACAGCAGCCATATTTCCCCCTTCACCAAGCCTGCAGTGGTCTCCTAAATGCCTGGGCACCCACTTCTCACCCCCCCCACAACTATATCATACCCTCCACACAAACTCATCATATAACTCCCTAAAAAAACACTCCCTGGGAGCAGGGGCCCAGCTGTCCTGTTTCCCACAGTTCTCCAGGGACTGTGCCCAGGAGCACGTGCTGTAGACACCCAGGGGACATTTGTTAAAACAATCAGAGATATCTAAGCCTCTGGGCACCATGTTCCAGGCCCCTTAGCACTTGGCCCTGCCCACCCTCATCATGACACTGCCTTCCCTGTTCTTTCCTTTACACTGCAGTTAGTCATAGGAAATAACTACACTTCTAAACTGTTTCACACCTTGAAGTCTCCTCATGCTTTATTATCTCTGCATAAAATGCCTTTCTCCCTTTTTAATACAGGACACTTTTACAGATCTCTCTTAAGTCTCAGCTTCTGATTCTCCCCAGCTTAGCCACCTTCCCCGACGCCTCCGGGCCCAGTAGACTGTTCTGTCCACCAAGGGGCACTTTAATGATATTGATGACAATGACGACGATGGTAAAATCACACCAGCAGCAGCTGACAGTAGAGAGAATGTACAAATTCATGTAATATTCACAGCAACCCTCTGATGTAGGCAATGTCTCTTTTCTCATTTTAGGGGAAGAAACGGAACCATGGGGAGGTCAGCTAGTGCTCTGAAGTTGGCAAAGTTGATAAATGACAGAGCCTGCTTTCAAATCCACATAGTCAGCTTCTATAATCTATGCACTGTGACCTACACACATATTTGTCACCAGGTGGTAAGGCTGTTGGAAGCAGGGTCCATGTCTTAATTTTGTGCCACATGTGGGTTCATAATAAAATAACATTACGTGAAGGGAATTAAAAATAAAAACAGTTGTACAGTTGCAGAATGAGAAAACTGGCTCAACTGTAGAATAGTGAAGAAGAGTTAGGGGTCTAATATTGACTGTGCAACCACAGAAGCCACCTCACTGGTCCTATGAGAAAGTACGGGGCCACGTGACTAGCATACCATACTAAGGGACACGCAGTTACTTGGTCCAGCACGGATCAGGCCAGTTCCAGAGTCTAGTGCCCTCTCTACTATTCAAAAATGGCCAATGGAACTTGACCAAAGATGGAGGTAAAATAAAATGGGAGTGAAGACAAAGAAAAAAAAATTCCAGGCATATCAATTATCTCCAAACATTTGACAAGCTTTTGTGAACAGAGGTTTCTTATGATTAAAAAGGGTATAAGAAGCCCAAAGGTGAAAGGTTCAGAGACAAGGGACTCGGCGTTGTGCTGAGCCAGCCCATACCCACACCTAACAACAGATTCTGAGTACCTTTCCCAGTTCTGCCTTCAGTGTTCTCACACCAGTGCTGTGAAAAAGATCGGTCAGGGTGGGTGAGTTTACACCACAGCAACACCAGAGCTACCATGGGACCTCTGGATTCTGGAGACCCAGTTTGCCAGCAGACCACTGCACGTAACCCTTTAGTGTGGCTGGAAAAACCGTGGGGAGTGCCTTGTGGAGGGTGGGCAGTGATTAGGCATGGTGTAGGGGGCGAGGTGTGGACACTGTAAGCAGAATTTAAATCATGAATGTGCAAACACATTTCATGAGAGGCCAGAATGGGATGCGGAAACAGCTGTCAATCTTTTGTACTTTTTTAAAAATTTTTCTGGTATCCATAAAAACACTATTTATAGAAAAAACTCAATCATTCAAAGAAACCGCTTGAATCTTAGCATTCTCCCATCAGTGTCTTATGTCAAAAATAAATAAATAAAACCAAAATAATACAGGACCTAAAAGAGTCTAGTACTTTTGAATAGGAGATAGTCCAAGCACCCTTCTTCCAACTGAGGCAGAAGTTGAAAATACCAAGTCAACCAGCAAACCCCAACAGACTATCAAAGAAACACTGTATTTTTCAAAATCATAAAAAATCTAGAGGTGTATTTTCTAGTTAACTCAAGGTTTAGAAGTAATTAGTGAATTTATTGCTACTGACAAACAGTAATATCCCTTGATGTTTGTTTTCTATAACTTCAAAATTACTTAACTTTCAATGGTACATTTTTATTTTATTTTGTTTTATTTTATTTTGTTTTATTTTATTTTATTTTATTTCATTTTATTTTATTTTATTTAAATGTTTTATTTATTTTTGAGAGAGAGATAGAGACAGCCTGAGCAGGGGAGGGTCAAAGAGAGAGGGAGACACAGAATCTGAAGACAGGCTCTGAGCTAGCTGTCAGCACAGAGCCCGATGCAGGGCTCAAACCCAAGAACCCTGAGATCATGACCTGAGCCGAAGTCGGGCGCTTTACCGACTGAGCCATGCAGGCGCCCCCAATGGTAAATTTTTAATAAACTAAAATCAATCATAGGAAGAATCTCCCCCTTTATTGTAACTAATTTAGTCTTTTAATAGCTCATATACTCTTTTACAGAAAGTGGGGCAAGTTATTATAAAACCTGCTTACTATCAGTGATTAGGACTGAAAAACTGATATACAATTTTTTAATGGAGAGACACTCATCTTCTTTATTTTATTTCTTAAAAATTCCTATTTTTTTTTTTTTTGAGAGAGAGAGAGAGGGACAGAGCATGAGTGGGGGTGGGGCAGAGAAAGAGGCAGACACAGAATCTGTAGCAGGCTCCAGGCTTTGAGCTTCTAAGCTGTCAGCACAGAGCCTGATGCAGGGCTTGAACTCAAGAACCATGAGATCATGACCTGAGGTGAAGTCAGACGCTTAACTGACTGAGCCACCCAGGCACCCCTATATACAATTTTTTATGTATATATTTTGTATATATATGTAAAGGTACAGGACAGAGATGAACTCAGCAGTCAGATACAACATTATATGGTATAAGCAATATATGAAGACTGACACAGAAGAAATCACCGTTTTCCTTTTAAAGCCCTCAAAAAAAAAGATACCAACACAAAAAGATACTAATTTAATCGGCAAGGCAAGAGCCACACCACTACCTTTTTAAATGGACTTCAGAATAAAAGATTATGTAAATTTAGCATTTCATTTCTGCTTTTGAATTGCAGAGGTGACAAATGAGTCACTTAAGTAGGTCATATAATGTGTTTTCTCTTTAGAGTGCCTCCTAACCCTCTTGTCCTCTATTTTAAATTCGAGTGACTCACAAACTCTTAGGAACAATCTCAAATAAATGATTTTGAATAGTAAGTACTCTTGTAAAATTGCTTACAGAATAAAATGGTGTGTCCAGATATATTCAGCACACTAAAGAAAAAGGTAAACTCCATTAGAATAAGATCTGCTATAACATAAAAATTGGCCTTAAGATTTAAATCAAAGGAGCTCCCACAAGTAAGACATAACTGAGGTCAGCCACTCTGAGGTTAGCCTGAGTATGAAACAGGAAATTCAAGATGGGGTAAATTTGTTCTTTTTGGGATATTTAAAAAAAATGTTTTTAATGTTTATTTACTTCTGAGAGAGACAGAGACAGAGAATGAGCAGGGGGAGGGAAGAGACTGAGGGAGACAAAGAATCTGAAGCAGCTCCAGGTTCTGAGCTGTTAGCACAGAGTCCGATGTGGGACATGAACTCATGAATGGTGAGATCATGACCTGAGTCTGACTCGGACACTTAACCTACTGAGCCACCCAGGCGTCCCCGCCCCCCCCTTTTTAATGTTTATTTTTGAGAGTGAGAGTTTAAAACTTTTCTAATGTTTATTTATTTTTGAGAGAGAGAGTCTTTAGGGATATTTTAAAATAAAAGAATGGATGAATCTATTGCACATTGGAAATAGAAGGTTCTTCTTTTGTGAATTATTCATCAAATGAAGTTAATAATATTTACAGTTTTGCTTATGCATCAAAGGTCTAATTTTATTTAAAACTCAAAACGACCTCATTGAAATACAGGCATTATTACTGTTTCCATTTTGTAGATGAGAAAAATACAGGCTGAAAAATGTAAACATCTTACCCATCCCAGAAAGTCAGACTTTGAGAATGACTCATATCTACTTCATTATAATTGTGTACTGGAAAGTCAAGTGGAAATCTAACTAAATGACTCCACCTAGCAAGTGACATTCTTGAAGTCTTAAGTTCTGTTATATATGGCAATAAGCTTATGTCGGAGATGACATCATAAAAACCTCCTGTAATTATATATATAATATATTACATATATTAATTATTATATATAATCATAATATAATAGAATTTTATATTATATATGTCATATATATACCTATATATATCAGTCATTTAGACTTCTACAGAAAGCATGCATCTCAAATTTGCTCAAAATGAGAAAAATTAATTGAGGTGCAAAACAGGTAAATGTAGGGAGCAGGTGTTATCTAATTTTGCAGGCTCTGAAGTTCTTAGTGTCCAACTTTTAAATAACAATAGAAATATCTTAGTAAGTTTTTGTTTTTATTTCCACTCCTTTCCGAACAATGTTTTGATGAATTATACATAAATAGAATGCAAACACACAGATCCATTTCCTTTTGAAATACTTAAGGATGTAAAAATGAACAGAAAATATCCTTGGCAACACCGGTACTAAGCTTTCAAAAGCCCACACATTTGAACGGAAGTTTGTGATGTACTCCAAAACACAGACATCAGTCGTTCTCACATTCCTCACTTCTCTCTCTAATGTCAGAATGTTTTATCAGTTTAAAAGGCACAGTTCTATGCCATTAATTAGGCTACATATTAAATGACACAGGAGTGGCACTTCCAAATGCCAACTGACCAGATCCGACAGAGGGCAGGAGACATTCGAAGGCAAAATAAAGTCCAAAGACAGAATAAAACCCTCAGTTAAATACCTTTACACAAATGCACAAAATTTATACCTTTCTGCCCAAGAACTGCGTTTTCCAAATGAACATGTACTTGTTTGTCTAAAGACACATATGCACGCAAGGCTGTATTTTAAAAATCCACAATCATTGAGAAGATAGCACTACTGGCATTAAGTTTATAATCATGAACTTGGACCACAAATAGGGATACTTGAGGTTTTGCTTCCATTCAAATGAGGCTGTGTGTCCTCTCTTTTAGCTCATGGCCACAGAATGTGTTAGTACATCCTTCAGGGATTCAGCAAGGCCAGCGTGACAACACCCACGTATCCAAAGGAAATTACATTTAATCCCATGTCTACTGCTAAGTGGTGTATGAGCATTGTGCTCTTATCAATATGAAACCTAATAATTGGAGGGAAAGGGGCATCTGGGTGGCTCACTCAGTTGAGCACCCAGCTCCAGCTCAGGTCATGATCTCACAGTCTGTGGGTTTGAGACCCGTGTCGGGCTCTGTGCTGACAGCTCAGAGCCTGGAGCCTGTTTCAGATTCTGTGTCTCCCTCTCTCTTTCTGCCCCTGTCCTGCTCATGCTCTGTCTCTCTCTGTCCCTCTTTCAAAAATAAAAATAAACATTAAAAAATAAATTATGGAAACCTAAAAAAATAATTGGAGGGACAAAGTTAACATAACATATTACAACAAGAAAGTAAAACTCTCCTGGTCCCATTTAATGTTGTTTCCTCTTTCTTATGGCATCGCTGAAATTCTAACTAAAATAAATTCTCTTATTACGCATTTATCATCCATTTAACTCATACTTAAAGAAAATAAAAGGGAGCAGAGGAAATGCTGACCAATGTTCCATCTATAAATTAGTGAAAAGCTATGGCTCCAGCACACCCACAAACAGAAAAAGCATATTTCCGTGTTTATCAGTCATAAGTGAGTTTGGTCTATAAGCTCTAAAGGGCTTTTTTCATATAAAATTTTTCATTGTTGTCTGACAATAATCCCAAACTTGTTCCAATTACTTGGTA